AAAGAAGTTTAATTGAATTTTAATAAAGATAGAGGCATGGCCTCACCTTTGAAGATTTAAAAAAAAAAAAAAAAAAACAATCAAAACTGCATATATTGAGATCCGATTGTATATACGTAATTAAATTATTTTTGATATAATTACAATTATAAAAATATCTCTGTATAGGCACTACAGTATTACTTTAGTCACATTGAGGTTACCAACCCAGTGATTCGAGGTCTGTATATTAAGAATAATTACTCTTTTGTGTATACTATACTGTATTTATTAAATATATACGTACGTACGTATATTTATTGTTTTTAATTTCGCTACTGTAGAGTTTAATTATATGTATTTAAGGTTTTAAAGTTTTTGAAGATACGTATACGTAAAACTTTTTTTTTTTTTTACTTAGAACATAATAACCAATTATATAACTATATATATATATATATAGTTTAGTCTTTTAAATACGTACGTAGGAATTTAGAACATAATAACCAATTATATAACTATAACTATATATATATATACAGTATAGTCTTTTAAATAAGAATATTATATATACCCAATTAACTATATATCGAGTATGTATAGTCTTTTAAATACGGTAAGAATATCTGATACGTATTATATCCAATTAACTACATATACAGTATAGTCTTTTAAATAATAACTTATACGTATACAGTATATACTGTATCTAGATATATGCAAAACACTATAGTGATCACTAAATATATACTGTATATAGCTATATAGTAAATTTAAAATTTATTTTCTAGCAAAACCGAAAAATTCTAGTTGTTGGCTCAGTTTAACACTATGTGGCCTTTTGATACACAGATATGCAATCGGCTTATCAGTATGTAATCAGAGCAATGATCGCTGTCAGGATGTCCGGTAGGATTCAACAATAAAATCAAAAATGAGGCAAAAAATCAGGTAGCTTGAATAACGATACTCTCATAAACAATCCTACATAAAACGAGCTCTTCTTGCCGTAGATTAAAAAAAAAATAAAAATAAAAATAAATCTAGTTAGCTGTACGGATCTCAACACTCCACGAAATCCCTTTTTCAGTAAATTGCATTTTGGTACCGTCCCTCTCCAGCTTGTCTCCTTTTTTTTTTTTTTTTTTGCCTTTAAACATTCGACACGCACCAGAAGCCACTGAAAATGTACCTTTGCAATGCAAGTCATAGCCCACTCCTAACACTCACACCCCCAACGCTTTTCCTTTTTTCAGTATTCCTTAGTTTCCCACACTAACCCCTCCTTCCAAAACCTGAATGTCTGACCACGGTGAAGACGCCACTCACTCTCCCTCTGAACGTAAAAGGTCCCTTCCGTCTGATGACGAAGAAGATGATCTTAGCCAAGAGGAAGGAAGAAGTCGCTTTAAGCGTCCTGCGTTAACCAATTCAGGCGGGGAAGACGACTCTTCGGAGTTTGGTCCGCTTGCCTTCGATGACGAACCA